GGCAGGACATATTGAAAGTGTTGAAGGAGAAAAACCTGCAACCAAGATTACTCTACCCAGCAAGGATCTCATTCAGATTTGATGGAGAAATTAAAACCTTTACAGACAAGCAAAAGCTGAGAGAGTTCAGCACCACCAAACCAGCTCTACAACAACTGCTAAAGGAACTTCTCTAGGCAAGAAACACAAAAGAAGGAAAGGACCTACAATAACGAACCCAAAACAATTAAGAAAATGGGAATAGGAACACACATATCGATAATTACCTTAAATGTAAATGGACTAAATGCTCCCACCAAAAGACACAGATTGGCTGAATGGATACAAAAACAAGACCCATATATTTGCTGTCTACAAGAGACCCACTTCAGACCTAGAGACACATACAGACTGAAAGTAAGGGGATGGAAAAAGGTATTTCATGCAAATGGAAACCAAAAGAAAGCTGGAGTAGCAATTCTCATATCAGACAAAATAGACTTTAAAACAAAGACTATTAGAAGAGACAAAGAAGGACACTACATAATGATCAAGGGATCGATCCAAGAGGAAGATATAACAATTGTAAATATTTATGCACCCAACATAGGTGCACCTCAATACATAAGGCAAATACTGACAACCATAAAAGGGGAAATCGACAGTAACACATTCATAGTAGGGGACTTTAACACCCCACTTTCACCAATGGACAGATCATCCAAAATGAAAATAAATAAGGAAACACAAGCTTTAAATGATACATTAAACGAGATGGAGTTAGTTGATATTTATAGGACATTCCATCCAAAAACAACAGAATACACATTTTTCTCAAGTGCTCATGGAACATTCTCCAGGATAGATCATATCTTGGGTCACAAATCAAGCCTTGGTAAATTTAAGAAAATTGAAATTGTATCAAGTATCTTTTCTGACCACAACGCCATGAGACTAGATATCAATTACAGGAAAAGATCTGTAAAAAATACCAACACATGGAGGCTAAACAATACACTACTTAATAATGAAGTGATCACTGAAGAAATCAAAGAGGAAATCAAAAAATACCTAGAAACAAATGACAATGGAGACACAACGACCCAAAACCTGTGGGATGCAGCAAAAGCAGTTCTAAGGGGGAAGTTTATAGCAATACAAGCCCACCTTAAGAAGCAGGAAACATCTCGAATAAACAACCTAACCTTGCACCTCAAGCAATTAGAGAAAGAAGAACAAAAAAACCCCAAAGCTAGCAGAAGGAAAGAAATCATAAAAATCAGATCAGAAATAAATGAAAAAGAAATGAAGGAAACAATAGCAAAGATCAATAAAACTAAAAGCTGGTTCTTTGAGAAGATAAACAAAATAGATAAACCACTAGCCAGCCTCATCAAGAAAAAAAGGGAGAAGACTCAAATCAATAGAATTAGAAATGAAAAAGGAGAGGTAACAACTGACACTGCAGAAATAAAAGAGATCATGAGAGATTACTACAAGCAACTCTATGCCAATAAAATGGACAATCTGGAAGAAATGGACAAATTCTTAGAAATGCACAACCTGCCAAGACTGAATCAGGAAGAAATAGAAAATATGAACAGACCAATCACAAGCACTGAAATTGAAACTGTGATTAAAAATCTTCCAACAAAGAAAAGCCCAGGACCAGATGGCTTCACAGGCGAATTCTATCAAACATTTAGAGAAGAGCTAACACCTATCCTTCTCAAACTCTTCCAAAATATAGCAGAGGGAGGAACACTCCCAAACTCCTTCTACGAGGCCACCATCACCTTGATACCAAAACCAGACAAGGATGTCACAAAGAAAGAAAACTACAGGCCAATATCACTGATGAACATAGATGCAAAAATCCTCAACAAAATACTAGCAAATAGAATCCAACAGCACATTAAAAGGATCATACACCATGATCAAGTGGGGTTTATTCCAGGAATGCAAGGATTCTTCAATATACGCAAATCTATCAATGTGATAAACCATATTAACAAATTGAAGGAGAAAAACCATATGATCATCTCAATAGATGCAGAGAAAGCTTTTGACAAAATTCAACACCCATTTATGATAAAAACCCTGCAGAAAGTAGGCATAGAGGGAACTTTCCTCAACATAATAAAGGCCATATATGACAAGCCCACAGCAAACATCATCCTCAATGGCGAAAAACTGAAAGCATTTCCACTAAGAGCAGGAACAAGACAAGGTTGCCCACTCTCACCACTCTTATTCAACATAGTTTTGGAAGTTTTAGCCACAGCAATCAGAGAAGAAAAGGAAATAAAAGGAATCCAAATCGGAAAAGAAGAAGTAAAGCTGTCACTGTTTGCAGATGACATGATCCTATACATAGAGAACCCTAAAGATGCTACCAGAAAACTACTAGAGCTAATCAATGAATTTGGTAAAGTGGCAGGATACAAAATTAATGCACAGAAATCTCTGGCATTCCTATATACTAATGATGAAAAATCTGAAAGTGAAATCAAGAAAGCACTCCCATTTACCATTGCAACAAAAAGAATAAAATATCTAGGAATAAACCTACCTAAGGAGACAAAAGATCTGTATGCAGAAAATTATAAGACACTGATGAAAGAAATTAAAGATGATACAAATAGATGGAGAGATATACCATGTTCTTGGATTGGAAGAATCAACATTGTGAAAATGACTCTACTACCGAAAGCAATCTATAGATTCAATGCAATCCCTATCAAACTACCATTGGCATTTTTCACAGAACTAGAACAAAAAATTTTGCAATTTGTATGGAAACACAAAAGACCCCGAATAGCCAAAGCAATCTTGAGAACGAAAGAAGGAACTGGGGGAATCAGGCTCCCAGACTTCAGACTATACTACAAAGCTACAGTTATCAAAACGGTATGGTACTGGCACAAAAACAGAAAGATAGATCAATGGAACAGGATAGAAAGCCCAGAGATAAACCCACGCACATATGGTCACCTTATCTTTGACAAAGGAGGCAGAAATGTACTGTGGAGAAAGGACAGCCTATTCAATAAGTGGTGCTGGGAAAACTGGACAGCTACATGTAAAAGTATGAAGTTAGATCACTCCCTAACACCATACACAAAAATAAGCTCAAAATGGATTAAAGACCTAAATGTAAGGCCAGAAACTATCAAACTCTTAGAGGAAAACATAGGCAGAACACTCTACGACATAAATCACAGCAAGATTCTTTCTGACCCACCTCCTAGAGTAATGGAAATAAAAACAAGAGTAAACAAATGGGACCTAATGAAACTTAAAAGCTTTTGCGCAGCAAAGGAAACCATAAAGAAGACCAAAAGACAACCCTCAGAATGGGAGAAAATATTTGCAAATGAAGCAACTGACAAAGGATTGATCTCCAAAATTTATAAGCAGCTCATGCAGCTTAATAACAAAAAAACAAACAACCCAATCCAAAAATGGGCAGAAGACCTAAATAGACATTTCTCCAAAGAAGATATACAGAGTGCCAACAAATACATGAGAGAATGCTCAACATCACTAATCATGAGAGAAATGCAAATCAAAACTACAATGAGATATCATCTCACACCAGTCAGAATGGCTATCATCAAAAAATCTAGAAACAATAAATGCTGGAGAGGGTGTGGAGAAAAGGGAACCCTCTTACACTGTTGGTGGGAATGTAAATTGATACAGCCACTGTGGAAAACAGTATGGAGGTTCCTTAAAAAGCTACAAATAGAACTACCATATGACCCAGCAATCCCACTACTGGGCATATACCCTGAGAAAACCATAATTCAAAAAGAGTCATGTACCAAAATGTTCATTGCAGCTCTATTTACAATAGCCCAGAGATGGAAACAACCTAAGTGTCCATCATCGGATGAATGGATAAAGAAGATGTGGCACATATATACAATGGAATATTACTCAGCCATAAAAAGAGACGAAATTGAGCTATTTGTAATGAGGTGGATAGACCTAGAGTCTGTCATACAGAGTGAAGTAAGTCAGAAAGAGAGAGACAAATACCGTATGCTAACACATATATATGGAATTTAAAAAAAAAATGTCATGAAAAACCTAGGGGTGAAACAGGAATAAAGACACAGACTTACTAGAGAATGGACTTGAGGCTATGGGGAGGGGGAAGTGTAAACGGTGACAAAGCGATAAAGAGGCATGGACATATATACACTACCAAACGTAAGGTAGATAGCTAGTGGGAAGCAGCCGCATAGCACAGGGAGATCAGCTCGGTGCTTTGTGACCGCCTGGAGGGGTGGGATAGGGAGGGTGGGAGGGAGGGAGACGCAAGCGGGAAGAGATATGGGAATATATGTATATATATAACTGATTCATTTTGTTGTGAAGCTGAAACTAACATACCATTGTAAAGCAATTATACTCCAATAAAAAAAAAAAATTGAAAAAAAAAAAAAAAAAAAGAGTTAGCTATATGCACAGCTATGTTTTTGGACCTGCACTTGGAATTTATTATCAGAATTTTTATTTTAAGCTATAGTATTTATAAAATATTAACATTTATAAAATATTTATCAAAAATCAATTTTAAACTTATCTTCTTATATTAACATCAACAAAATATTTATCATATACTAATTTAAAAATCTATCTTGTTATTAGTCAAACAAGGCTAACAAAATGAGGGTCAGGACTAAGAATTCCACAAACCTCAGCTTTCCACAGAAAAAGCACTTTAAAGTTCCCTGTGGGGAGAATGTAAGAAGTAGTAAAAGAAGTATTCCAACTGATCTTAATTGGAATAATTTCAAAAAGACTCCCAAATTATTTGGACTTTATAGACCATGAAACACCCTGATAGCCTTACATTGTTATAAATTGCTATACCTCTAAAAATAACGCACATTAAGGTCCTTACTGCACATTAAGGACCCAAATGTATAGAACAATGAATACTGAAATATTCCATCATTTAGAACTATTATTATATAATAAATCCTATAACTTATAAAACTGGAACTTACCTTAAAAAGTGTCACAGTGATTTCAATGTTTTCAGGAACAGGCCACACTACAACACCACGGTATGGATTTTTTATTCCAGGCTGCCAGCTATGAGCCTACCAGAATAAAAATAATGGCTTCAATTTGAAGTACAGGAAATGCAATGTTAATAATTTACAAAAATATATTGACCCTATTTAACTATCCATTAGATCTCCCTAAAACAAAAATGATTAGTCAAATAAAACTTTTCAAGCATTAAACTTGGGCTATGACGGTTATATCACATGGTAGCTACAGATTACTATCTGTAAACAAACCTTTACCCTCTCCCACGCACGCACACACACACACACACACACACACACACACACGAAGATGCAAAAATGAGGTGCCTCATATTTTCAAAAGCTATTTAGGATTGAATAAAAACCTTATTAGGAGAAACATTTTTGAAATTACTTTGTTATTTAGGAACTTAAGGGCAAATTCATTCTTTAAAAGGAAAAATTAATTGTATAGTCTGCATTTAAGATCATTTCCCACTAAACCATAATGTTTATTTGGGTCAAGTAAAGAAGAAAGCAGTTTGTACAGTTAATGTTTCTAGTGCCTATAATTTTAAAGACTTTTTTCCTTGTAAATATTGATTATCAAGGTTCCCTAAGGAACCCCCTGAAATGTGGGGTCACCACTCTAGGTCTTCCGTTGTGGTGGCGTTTCCAGCCAAAGCTAATGCATAATGGTATGCCAGGACAGCTCAACTAAATCTTCATCTCTCTGGGCTTCAGGACTGGTCCGTGGACATGCTATGAAGGTGGTAATAAAAGCTGACACTTAAGAAGTACTTTCTATATGTCAGTGCATATTTGGAATTTACTTATGTTTAACTCATTCAATCTGCATAAGAATCCTATGAGGTAGCTACTATTCATTCATTCATTCACTCATTCACTCACTCAATTGATACTATCTGCCAAGCATTGTCTAGGAACTGTAGTTAAAAAAAAAAAAAAAATCTGCCTTAGTGGAGTTTTCAGAATAGTAGGAAGAGACAGACAAACAAAATAATTAAGTAAAACAGACAGCATGTTAGGTAGAGAGAAACGCTGTGGAGAAAAATGAAAGTAGGGAAGAAGGATGGAAGGGGCAAGAGAAAGTAACAATTTTCAACAGGTTAATCAGAGAGAAGTGTCAATGAGCAGGTGACGAGAGAAGACCGTAAGGAATTGAATCAGATATTTTAAAACATGGAAAGAGCTTTCTAGGGAGATGGACCAGCAACTGGAAAGGTGCTGAGGCAGTTAGATAACAACAATGCCAATGTGGCTGGAGCAGAGTGGTCAAAGAGAAGAGCAGCAGGAGATAAGACTAGAGAAATCACAGAGGGCCCAATCATATGAAGCTCTGGCAGCCCATTCCAAAGATTTTGGTTTGTAATTTGAGTGAGATGGGAAGCCACTGGAGGATTTTAAGCAGAGGAATGATGAAGTTATGTTTTTTGACTCTAGCAAATGTATTTAGAATAGGCTTCAGATGTAAGAGAGGAAACAGGGAGACCAGTAAGCTACTGCAATAATTCTTTGGAGAGCTAATGGTGACTTGGCTTGGGGTGGTACAAACTAGTCAGATTCCATATATTTTTTCATAGTTTCAAGATAGAATCAATAAGGTTTTCTGTCTGATTGTATGAAAGAAAGTAGCCAAGGCTGATTCTAAGGCTTTCACCCTTGAGCAAGTACATAAAAGGAATTGCTATTAACAGATATGAGGCAAAACTGCTGAAGGATCAAGTTTGGAAAATAAGATTAGGAACTCAGTTTTATACACATTAAATCTAAGTTGCCTTTTAGATATTCAAGTGTAGGTGTTTAAATAGGCAGCTGGATGTATGTGCTGGGAGTTATAAATTTGGGAATCATCAGCGTGCAGGTGATACTTAAAACTTGGATGTGATCCCAAGGGAGTGAGGAGAGAGAGAAAGAGAGAGAGGGAGAGGGAGGGGGAAAGAGAGAGAGAGAGAGAGAAACGCTCAGGAACTGAACCTTGGAGCACAACAATAACAGGTCCAGGAAATGAGGAGGAATCAGCAAAGAAGGGTCAGTAAAGCAGAAGGAAAAGCAGAGGCATGTGGTATTCTGAAACTCTAGAGGAGAAAATGTTTTAAGGAGAAAGGAACAAACATCTGTCCCAAATCTTGGTGACAGGTCATATAGGATGAGGTCTGGAAAATGACCCCTGGATTTAACAAAGCAGAAGCCATTACTGACCTCACAAGAGCAGTTTCAGTGGAGTGACAAGGGTAAACACCTGACTGGATTAGCATGGATTCAAGAAAGAACAGGAAGAAAGAAACTAGCAAGTACATTCAACTCCTCCGAGGTGTTTTGCTGAAAGAGAAAGGGAGAAATAGGTTGGTGCTAGTGGGAGAAATAGTGTCAGAAGAGAATTTTTTAAGTAAGAGAAAAATATTTTTAGGCTGATGAGAAATATCCAGTTAAGAGGGAAAATTTAATGATGCAGAAGAGAAATAATTTCTAGAGTAATGTCCTTAACAGTACAAAAGGAGACAGATTGGCCTTTGCTCGGAGCACAGACGATTCTTCCATAATAATAGGAAAGGAGCTAAAGTATATGAGTGCAGGTGCATGTCAGGGAGCAGATTTAACACATGAAGAAACTGAGGCACAGACTGGCCCAGGATCACACAGCAAGTAAGTGGCAAAAGTTGGATTTGAACCCAGGAAGTGGAACTGAGAAGGGATCAAGATCATGGAAACTTATGTCCGTGCAAATCTTATCATATCTTGTTAGTTAAAATACCAGCAGAATATTGTAAGTTAACTATACTTCAATAAAAGATAAAATACCAGCACAAGATATAGGTTTAGCAGCACTAAACTACTCCCACTCCAGCTAAATTGTCAATAACTCCCTCTCTATTCTCTCTTCATTGCCCCCAGATCACAAAACTTCAGGTGAGGAAAGGGAAGTAGTGACTCACAAGAGACTTAGCACACCACAGCCAATGGTAAAGAACTGAGTTTTGCTGATTAAAAAACATCTCCAGGGATTCCTCTATTCCCCTGCCTATTTCTACGCCTGTTGACAGTCCTAGAACAAAAACTCCACAAAGTAAACAATATTCATTCTGAAAAGTAAATTGCTGCCCATCTTAGAAAATCTTTTATCAAAACTCTACACAGTCTACATATTTAATTCTTAAGATTTATGACAACTCTAATTCTCATGTACTGTCATGGTAGATCAAGCAATTTCTCTGGTCTCTTCAAACTTCCCATAATTATATTTTCATAGTCGCCCGATACATTAAAAAAAAAAAAGACCATAATAACTGAACTTTATTTATTAGCCACGGCAGAAAAGATAGAGTTTTTGTAAAATTTGGAATGAAAAAAAAGACCATCAAAGAATTTTAGGCCTGAAAATATCTTTAGGAGATCTAAACCAGGTCCAGATAAGGAAACTGAAGCAATTAAAGAGTAAATGGCTTGCCTGAAGCCATACTAATAATCAGTAGGAGAACCAACTCCATGATTTTCAAGTTCAGAGTTCTTAACCCAACCGACATCATAGCAAACTCTATTTCTGATTCACACAGTATTCAAGAAAATAGTCTTCTATCCCTAAGGTCTTAACATTTATGTATATGACACAGAGGTCAAGAGTGGGAAAAGCAGGGAATGTGGAGACCAACTGACAACTGGGCAGGGTTAGAAGATGGTGATACCATGTAATTTCCTCAGGTATCCTAATGCTGCTCCTCTAAATGACCTCTTTAAATTCTCAATCTTGGATCAGGGAATGGTAATTAGACCAATAAACAAACAAAAATACAATCTGCTTAATGAATTAAAATATTTTTTTTCTTTTTTTTTTGCAGTACGCGGGTCTCTCACTGTTGTGGCCTCTCCCGTTGCGGAGCACAGGCTCTGGACGCGCAGGCTCAGTGGCCATGGCTCATGGGCCCAGCCGCTCCGCGGCATGTGGGATCTTCCCGGACCGGGGCATGAACCCGTGTCCCCTGCATCAGGAGGCAGACTTTCAACCACTGCGCCACCAGGGAAGCCCTCTTTCTTTTTTCTAATAAAAAGAGATGGAAAGGTGCTAGTTCCCAAGCTGCTAGTATGCTGCCATTTTCTGACCATTCTATCCAGCAACCCTTCCCAGCAAGAGAAAAGGTCAAACTAAGACAGAGCTCTGGCTTTCTGATAGTCTTTTTAGGGACTGTACACCTAGCTAAGTTAGGACAGTGTAACAATACCAATTAGTCCAGCTGAGTATCTGGCAATGCCAGCTTTATAATGTTAGCTAATTATTATATACTAGGCAGAATCAGTAAATTTTGCTGGAGAGGAAACTATGGATGTACATAGCAGCAAACCTGAAGGAAAAAAAAAAGTGTTCCTAGTCAGAAGAGCTTACTACAACTTCTACCTCAAACAGAATTAAAGAACCTGAAGCTAGAAAAAGAATGAAAAGTCTAATACAGGTAACTAAAAATAGCTGCAGTATTAAACATCTAACTGTACAAATCAACTGAGACAGGAATTTAGGTTCTTAAGAACTTTATTTTTTAAAAAGCACCTCATACTGGCACTCATCAGCACTACAAGAACCCTGATCAGTTTTTATTCAGAGTAACAGAAAGGATTTCCCTAGAAAATAATTTGGTACAAAACACATACAGCTATTTAGCTAGCTCCTTAGTAGAGTCAGGAAAGGCAGGTTATTTAATCATTTGCCAGCATCCTAGTACAGTTAACGACAGAAAGGATGAAGCCACATTATCCAGTTCCATTCATATTTTTTTTCACTTTTTAATCATATCACAGATCCTTTAGCAAAGGCAGACCTAAGGAAAAGGTAACATTTCTCAATTTTGAGTAATGACTCTATAAAATGCCTTATTTTCAAATTATTTCATATCATATCTTACCTAAAAGACTTGTACCTAATATGGAACTAAACACAGAATAAATATTCACTTGTTACTTCTGATTCCTACAAAATCAAAATATTTCACTGAAAATTTATAACTGTCAATTTAGTTTTTAAATTGATGATTTTCAATTTATAAAACTGCATCTACCCATAGGTTTAAGATGTCACACATAAATTTACCTTAGAGTTGTCCATATCATGGCCATAAGTCAAAGCTCTACAACTATACCCACCCCTTCATGATACCACAGCACATTGATAAAGGCTATAGTACAACAACAGAGCAGGGAAGTAGAGGTGGTAATGCCATCCAAAAGCTGGTGAGGACTTTCAAGCTCTTGTTTCCCTTTGGAACTCTCCCATCTCTCTGTGAGTTTAAATTTACAAAACTAGATTTAAGGCAACAGACTACTCTGCCATAATTCTTCTTGACTATCACAATCTCCCTGCTTCCTATTGTCAAACACTGTACTGAAAAATAATTTATTTAAGCATATACAAATCAACTACAGCCTGAAAAAATCTCTGTTATAAATGCCATGACTTGAGGATAAGAGGCGGGGAAGCTGCATATTGGGATAATTACTCATGGTTATTATTTTCTCGATAAAAAAGGATTCAGCAATGAGTTCTTTATATATTTAACTAGAAAAATAGACATGTACCCAAAGAAAGTGAGCAATAAATTGAAAACTAAACTTTAAATTAAATAAGGCAATGTGCCTTATTATTTTACTGTCTAATCTGTTATCTGGGTGTCAGTTATAAATTTCAATCCACCAATATAAAAAAGGTAGATAATCAACTATACTTCAATAAAATAATTTAAAACGGCAGATATACTCAGAATCAGGCAAGATAAATAATAACTTATACAGATAACCAAAGAAAATTAATTACTGCGTAGTTCAAACTCTTTCCAGAAACACAGTTAAAAGTAAAAACTAGACTATTTTCTGGCCAATGGTTGCAGAAATCTGCTTTCCCCCTAAGTGATTTCAAAGGGACTTAGCAAGCAAATAATATTTCAAAGGAAAAATGTCAGAAAACAGAAGAGTCTTTCAGAAGAAAACAATGGTTCTAGTCTGTGGATTTAATATAACTGATAGCTAATTTTTAAAAAAATAATAGCTGGGGACAATTTTATTTTTTTTTTAATTCCAAAATGCCATGGATCTCAAGCTTCTCAAGATTAAAAAAAAAGTTATTTGTTTAATTTTCACAATAATATCATTAGCATTTCTTTCATAGCTTCTGGAACTGATTTTTACATCCTTATTTAGCTGTTGTGAACAATTTACAGAACAGCATTTCACATATACATGAACATTTTATGTATATGCTATAATAAACAACACACTGTAACTTCTCATAAACTTTTCAAAAGTACACCTATAATGTTTCAAGAGAAAATACAATGATTCTAAAATATCCAGAAGGGATCTGAAATATTAAGAGCATCACAACTGGAAAATTAGTCCAATAAGAAATAGTTCCTTCTAGAAAATATTATATTTTGAGAAAAATCAACCTGTAGCCTATGTTTGTATTTCACCATCTGGATTCAATCAATATTTGATACAATATAAAATAGAATCTGGACCTAAAATTTATTTGACTGACTTTCAAAAATGTAATTAAATTAAAAGTATACTTAATTTCAAATATGGGTATTCTGAATTGACCTTTAATCTAAAGTATTTCATTATGTTTCATAATGTTTTAAGAAAACAGTATCTAGTTTCTAAAAGAGGGACATCACTTTTTGTTGATAGCTAAAAACATTTAGGGTCGATTTCTAATGTTTATAGTTATATTCAGATTCTTCTATCACACTTAGTGGATGGCCTAATATTGTTCCTTTTCACAAAAGCTTAAGACCCACTGAGCAAAACTGACAGACGACCCTAAGTCTCTTTTTAGAACCCCTTCTCATAAATAGATAAGAAAATATTACATGTCCAAAATATAATGCCCCCAAACTACAAATGTATGCTTTGAAGAAAATGCTATTCATGAGGTGAAGCAACTGGACCTTTCCTATATTGCTGGTGGGGGTATATTAAAAGTTCAAAATGTATGTACCCTATTACCCATTGATTCCATTCCAAGTTATTCGTCCAAGAGAAAACATTTGTCCCCCAAAATACTTGAACAGTAATGTTTACGACAGATTTATTCACAATAGTTGAACACTCAGAATATTCACTGGAAACAAATCAAATGTTCATCAACAGATGTATAAAAAATCACACTGCAGTATATGTGCATGATGGAATACTGCTCAGCAATGAAAAAAGTTAAACTACCAACATTCACAATACCATGAATAAATCTCGAAAACATGCTGTACAAAAGAAACCAGACATAAAATAGTACTTTTGTATGATTCTATTTATGTGAAATTTAAGAACAGGCAAAAATAGCCTACGGTGATAGAAAAATCAGAATAGTAGTTGCCTCTAAGGATTGGGAATTGACTGGAAGAGGACTCAAAGGAAAAAGGTGATGAAAATTGTCTATATCTTGATAGCAGTGGTAATTATACAACTATATATTGATCAAAACTCATAAAATTGTGTACTTAAGATCTGTGACTTATACCATATATAAATTTTAATTCAATAAAAATAAAATTTAAAAAGATGCCCTTAAAAAATTTTTAATTCTGAAATTTAATTAAATTAAAATTTAATTTCAGTTAAAATGAATAAATTTTTCTTTACGTAAGTCTACTTACGGAAAAACCAACATTCAATAAACATGCTTGTAGTTATCGTGTGCTTATAAAAATATACTCATACTTACTTGTCTATAGATTGGAATTTTTAAAATACTTAAAATTGTTATTGAACATTTTAAAATTCTGTTCTCGGCTTCCCTGGTGGCGCAGTGGTTAAGAATCCACCTGCCAACGTAGGGGACAGGGGTTTGAGCCCTGTTCTGGGAAGATCCCATGAAGTTGCCGCAGAGCAACTAAGTCTGTGAGCCACAACTACTGAGCCTGTGCTCTAGAGCCTGCGAGCCACAACTACTGAGCCCATGTGCCGCAACTACTGAAGCCCGTGCACCTAGAACCTGTGCTCTGCCACAAGAGAAGCCACCACAATGAGAAGTCCATGCACTGCAACGAAGAGTAGCCCCCGCTCGCCACACCTAGAGAAAGCCCACATGCAGCAACGAAGATCCAACACAGCCAAAAATTTTTTTAAAAAATTATAAATAAATAAATAAAATTCTGTTCCACTCCCCACAAAGCCATAAGAACAAAAAATTAAAATCTTTGAAAAATCCAACTCCTCTTCAGTAACCCAGCAATGGACTCAGATAACTCATCATTCCTTATGTGTGTCCTAACTTCATCCTCTTGGAATCTGAATAAAGTAATCCTAGGTGTAATTTTGTAAGTGATATTTATTTAATCATTATTTCATGATATCCTAGCACAGAGAAGTTAAATAACTATTATGTTATTCAAGGCTACCAAATCCAAAATCAAAACTCAGGTAACTGGCTCCTGCTTTAGGAACTGCAGTAACAAGATTACATACAGCGCCTGATCAATCATTTTAGTACATTAGATAATAAGAAATAACCTAAAATATCAAGTAATATTTTAAAACATTCTTCACTGGGACCAGAGAGGCTTAATAATTTGACCAAAAGTCAAATTCAATATTTGGGTAAGAAATTTAGAAAACAGACAAACCTTGGAAGACTTCCTTCGGCTTCTTCTCGTCCAAACTACCACCAGTTTATCTGGTTGCCTGCCAAACAAGAAAAAGATTACGTATAATTTATCTTAAATCAAATAATAAAATTTAGTTCTGGCGCCTTTAAAAGAACAAAAAATCATCTGCTTTAGATTACATAGAACCGTTGCACTTACAATAAAGCTCTATAAATTATTCATATATAGTAGATGTTGAATACAGATATGATCTAATTTAAATGACTAATATTTCATCCACATGTTTTTCTAAAAATACTTTACCAAGTAAATTCACTGGGACAAACCAAGTAAAATTAAATACTTAGACTATTTTTAAAAGAAAAGCAGGGGCTTCCCTGGTGGCGCAGTGGTTGAGAGTCTGCCTGCCGATGCAGGGGACACAGGTTCGTGCCCTGGTCCGGGAAGATCCCATATGCCGCGGAGCGGCTGGGCCCGTGAGCCATGGCCGCTGAACCTGCACGTCTGGAGCCTGTGCTCCGCAACGGGAGAAGCCACAGCAGTGAGGCCCGCGTACCGCAAAAGAAAAAAAAAAAAATCTCCTTTAAAACAATACTATATTTCTAACACATTATCCACTTTAATTTAGAGAAAATAAGCATAAAAACGATACTTCCAAAGTAATTTAAATCTGTGGTTTACACTACTCTTGCATCTCTGTATCTTATGACCAATGCTTATGGTTTTCAAAAACTTTTTATAATCAATCATCTCAACTATCTTCATAAAAACAATATAATACCAAAAAATAGGCAAGGTACATTCTGGCAAAGTTACATAACTCATCGAAAGTTCTGGCAAAACCAAGACCAAATGAAATACAGGTCTTCTAATTCTCATACCTCTCTTCTTTATATTCTGCCAACATAAAGTTAAAAACAAAACACACTCACATTTTCAGATAATACAACTAAGTTCTCTTTAATGCTTAGGGAAAACAGAAAAACTATGATTATCAGTTCTTTTACTTAGATTTTTATTTTTAAAAATCTTAAAAGCTTTTTAACCAAGAAATGAATGATATTACTCATCTCAGTGACCTTCACCACTTTCTCTGTCTCCTTCATTTTACCCTGGTATCTTTCATTATCAGCAGATGACCTGTCCTCCTATTTAACTACCTACCTACCTACTTACCTTCCTACCTACATACATATATTATAAAAGGTCACCAGCCATAAACTCCTGATCCAGTGATTTACCTAGAAACCTGTCCAAAGAGCAACAGTTGTCTAATGAAAAATATTACTGAGGAACTGATCCTGAATGTAGTACAGAGAAATAAAGTGGTAATATTTTTAAAGAAGGTAAGAGACATAGAAGATAGATTGAGAAGTACACACACCTAACAGAAATTCTAGGGCTTCCCTGGTGGTGCAGTGGTTAAGAATCCGCCTGCCAGTGCAGGGGACACGGGTTCAAGCCCTGGTCCGGGAAGATCCCACATGCTGCAGAGCAACTAATCTCATGCGCCACAACTACTGAGCCTGCACTCCAGAGCCCATGTGCCACAACTACTGAAGCCCACATGCCTACAGCCCGTGCGCCGCAACAAGAGAAGCCACCGCAATGAGAAGCCTGCACACCACAATGAAAGAGTAGCCCCTGCTCACCGCAACTAGAGAAAGCCCGCACACAGCAACAAAGACCCAAAGCAGCCAAAAATAAATAAATAAATTTATTTTAAAAAAGAAATTCTAGAAGTTTAGAATAGTGGGAATGGCAGAGGCAATACTAAGGAGAAAAGGCTAAGAATGTTCCAATAAAGATAGGAGTCCTTAGGTCGAAAATATATATTAACAAATAAACAGGATAAATAAAAAACTAATCTATGTCTAAATACCTCGCAACTACGGAACAGCAAGAATAAAGAGAAAAATCATAAGAAAAGATAGGTTACCAGCAAAGGCGTAATTATGCTGACAACAACTTCTTAGCAGCAACAGCGCCCAAAATACAATGAAGCTAATGATCTTCAAGTGCTAAGGGAAAATAGATGCCATCCTGGAGTTTCATATTGGCTAAACTACCATTTAAGAAATGGTTTCAGACATAAAAGACTAAGAATTTACAATCTATATAACCCAGCTAAATACAGGAAGGAGGAGGATGCAAGAAGCAATATAAATGTGGTAAAATGTTAATACTTGTCATTTTCAGTGATAGGACCTGAAGAAAACAAGAGTAGACAAAAAAACAAAAGTAAGGTTCCAATGAAACTATTTCATCAAGGCATCTTCTAAACAAATGCAGTGTGTTTCTGATGGTGATAGTAACCAGCATAGTATAAAAAAGAAAAATGGTGGTTCTCCACCCAAGACTAAACCAGTTCCCAAAGAGTGTCAAGCTTTGAAGACAACAATTGTAAAAACCAGTAGCTTGATTTGGTGAATCTTTCCAGCGTGAGACGTTGGGAGCAGGAGCCAGATGCCAAAGTGCTAAATTACAGATGAAATAGAAGAAAGTTTCTATGAAACATCAGAGTGTTCATCTAAGAATCTGAACCAATGGAGAAACAAACAAAACCTTGTTCAACACACAGAGAAGTAGAACAGGACAAATGACATGAAGATGGGGAGCAGTATAGCAACATGACAACAGAGCTGGGCAGAGGGTATGATCAATGATGGCAGCTTAACAGCAGAGGGACTGCGTAGCCAACCAGTGCAAGCTACCTTATTTGAAAGCATTGGTGGCTTGCTGGAACCCTTTACCTAGATTACTACACTAACCTTTTTACTATGTTCTCACCTCCACATTTCCAGCCCAACCTCAACCCTTAGTTATATTTCTGCAATACTTCTTTAGAAATGCTATAAAGATCTTACTGATTTTCCTTATTATCCTTACTGGGCTCTTATACTGAAGGTACTACAGACTAGCACGTGAAGGTTGAATTTCACAGATTTATTTGACCTAAACAGTATTCCATCTTAGTTTAAATTTAAACTTTAAAAAACATTTCTTACTTAAATGTCTTTAAACAAGGTCCATGCTATCCAGATTACTAGAGCCTTCAATGCTATCAACTGCTTCACACCTGACCAGCTTCACTCTTAAGATGATCTACTTAGTCCCTGTATGCATTTGACCCTGTGACACCATAGCATGCAAGATAACATCCATATTCCTGAATGTGGTTTATAAGGCACTTCACCACCTGACTCTGATCTACTTTTCTAGATGCAAAACCTACAAATATCTCAAAGGCATCTTGCTTTCCAATCAATCCCTGAACACTTATTCAATTTCTTCACATCTTTGCATGTTACAAACTTTTTTTAAAACCTCCTCTTTTCTCTCCTTTTCTACCTGATAAACTCTTAATTCATCACTTCCTCTGTGAAAACCTGACCATTTCTCATTCCATTCCCACTTCATCCCACATCCTAAACCTCAGGCAGAGTTAACTGCTCCTTCTACTGTATTTCCAGTAATACTCTAGACACCTCTTTTTTAATATCCTATGCACCCTGTATTACATTATTTGTTATTATTTCTATCTCCTCCACTAGACTGTGCTCCTTTATCAACCATATCTTATTTATCTTTCTATTCCCAGTAACTAATAAGAATCTGGTACAAGATTGAGGCTCGATGTACATTCACTACTGAATGAACCTTAAATTTCATCCAGGAATTCCCAATTGGTTAATTATAATTGATGAGGTCCAACTAAAGCCTGTAGCTACATCATACATTCTCTCTGCAGCTTATTTGAGCTTTGCAAGCATCCTCACCTTGGCTGCACATTGGAATCTCCTGGGAAGGGAGAGTGCAAAGCAATCCCCACACCTCCCGACTTGGAACATTAGTGAGGTATTAGTTGTGATGGCAGTGAGGGTGTCTCCCCTCCATGATATTGTCCTAGTGCCACCTGCACAGTTGCCTCCACCTAACTTGGCCTCTCAGCATCTCCCTCCCCTCAACCCGTTCTGATCTTGTGTTTCAGAAAAGGGAAGCCACTTACTGTAAAAAATTAGGAAGGGTGGTCTCCTAACCTATATGCCTGAAGTTCCAAGTATGTAAATATAACATAAATTACTTATTTGAGAATGTCTCCAGAGATGAATAAACTTTTTTGTAATTCTAAGTCATGTCCAATTTTTATAATGTCTTCATTAGAAATCAGCCCACCTTTACATTATCAGGGACAAAGCAAGGCAGAATGTTCTAAAATAAAGAACTGTGCTGTTATTGTTCTCATAGAAGAACACCAAAAACCACACAACTGGTTGACCACAATTAATATTTTAAGCATCCATGCTGTACTAGAAAAGAACCATTAAATATTTACTTATGTGCTCCCAAGAGGCCAGGGATAGAGCAATTGTGAGAGTTTTATCCAACTACCAAAGAACCTATATAACTTTCTATCAAAAAAGTCAAGACAACCTGATAGAGCCCAGATTTTAGAGAGAATCTAACAATCACGTACTTAACATTTCTACCCCATTACCTAAGTAACCAGGTAGCACTACACATACAGATATATAAACATACACACATATATTTATATACAGATATTTACATATATAAACATTTTATATACATACACATAAAATGTACACAGACACACTGCCTGAGTTCCACTGGAAAATTTGTAGTTTTTTGGTGGGCTTATGCAGCAGAGGAAACTTTACAGTTAAAAATGAGGGACTTAAAAAAAATAAATAAATAAATAAAATAAGGGACTTCCCTGGCAGTCCAGTGGTTGAGACTCCACGCTTCCACTGCAGGGGGCATGGGTTTGATCCCTGGTCGGGGAATTAAGATCCCACATTCCGGGCAGTGCGGCCAAAACATGAATGAATGAATGAATAAAATAAAAATCGACCTTCTATCCTACCCTCAGAGTCCTTAAAAGGCAACAAGTTGAATCTGAAGGTGGCAAGACTTATCTCACGCTATAGTCCTGATGCTAAATTCTGTAGAGGAGGAAGGACAGGAGGAAAATGGAAGTGGAAGGAGGAAAAGATATGAGAGCTACAATGAACCAGCTTATAAAGCAATAAACTGTATCTTTCTTTTGTCTGC